AATTAACCTGCGATCAAGCGTTCTTCTTGTTTTTTCCTTTGAAAGAAAAACAAGCTAAATTCAACTAAAAGAAGTAACTGAAGAGGAAATAAGACTGGAGTAGGTCGCTGATAAGCTGGTTTGTTTGTTTTTTGTTTTTTATCTTACTGGTAAGGCTCCTCAGTGGTAATAGTTCGTAATAGCTAACGTTCGATAAAGGAAATCCCTACATGAATCCGAGGCTTTCTGTTTACAGTTCTGTATTAGGTTTGGTTTTCTATGTGCTGAAGTCTCTTTTGGGAATTACGAGACAATTGAGTCGTGAAAAATTTGCAATTTTTGTCCTTATGTTAGACATCGAACGCAGCTACTAATGCCAGTCCCTCCTGAGCGCTGAATTTTCAAGATGGTGTCGCTTTGTTATTTTCTAGTTTCATCCTATCGTTCAGCACTTTTTGCCCTTTGAAAATGTAACCTAGGCAGTATTTTGAGCTTTTTGATATTTCCTTCAGCTGCTAAACATACTTTACAGCGAAATATGAAAGAAAATTCACGAAGAGGACTTAAAACAAACACGAAGGGATCGGCCTGTTTACAAGAAAAAGCTTGGAAACTATAAGAAATGTGAGTTTTCTAATTTCTTCCTGTTTCAATGGCCCAAAATGATTATTAGTGTTTTGGTTACATGGATGATAGTAGACTGCAATTTGGCTGTCAGAGTTGTTCTGTCGTTTTAGTTGTGTGCTGTAGATCAATTCAAACTAAAATGCCCGATTTTTTGCTCGTCTGCAGACACTGAGTTTAGGTCAGATACTTGTCGATACGTAACAAATCTTATGGTTTTAGAAAGTAGTTCTGTGATGTGTTGTATCGCATACAAAAAATAAACTTCGCTCGTTAAATTTGGAGGGTTCTGTGAGTTTCAGAAAATGGTGAAAATTTGCTTATAAAAATGGCGTCCGAGGGGGTCGAAAAAAGTGATGCTCGTATCTCTAATACAAGAGCAGTGAAGAACCTATGTTTGGTATATTTGTCCATTACTCCACCAGACCTATCTATGATGTTAGTATGAACTGATTCTGTCGACCCCCTTCCGTTGACATTTTTAACATTTTGCCCGGTTTTCTCTGACAACCACTCTTAAAGACAGAAAATTCTGCGCCTTTATCACATCTCGAGAAAATCGCAGAATGCTTGAATATTCACTTTACAAACGTTTGTCCGTAACTTGCATCTGAAATCTCTACGGTGGATTGTGATGTAAATCCAGTTGATTCCCAACAGCGTGTTCATTCTTCGTTTGAACTGAAGGAAGTCACGATCGCTGACGTGTTTTAAAAACTGCAGGAAGTAAATGTTGCAAAGGCGACTGGTCATGATAACATCCCAAACAAGACTTTAAAAATAGCGGCTCAAGTTATTTCTATATCGTTAGCTGACCTTTTCAACCTCTCGATTACTACAAATACTTTTCCAGGTGACTGGAAACTTGCAAAGGTCTTTCCGCTATTTAAATCAAGTGGACGTAATGATCCAAATAACTTTAGACCGATTTCTGTCTTACCAACTATAGCCAGGGTTTTTGAACGACTAGTTTATGAGCAGATGTACACTTATTTTACGGAAAATAATCTTATTCAGCCTCGTCAATCTGGGTTTAGATCTCTTCATTCAACTGTAACTGTGCTTCTAGATATGACAAATCAGTGGTGTCTTAATACTGATAGAGGTATGGTCAGTGGTGTATTTCCCTTGATCTTAAGAAGGCATTTGACACTGTTGAACATGCTATCTTGTTGAAAAAGCTGTCTGACTATGGGGTGCAGGGTCAAACCGCTTCTTGGTTCAAGTCTTAACTAAAAGACAGACAGCAATTTTTGCGTGGTAAACGGATTGTCGTCTGTAAAAAATTGTATCGTATGTGGCGTTCCACAGGGTTCTTTATTAGGCCCGCTCTTGTTTTTTTATTTATATTAATGACTTACCAAATTGCTTAGATCATAGTATAGGAAGGCCATTTGCTGATGATACAAGTTTAAGGTTCCCCGCCGTGGTTTTATCAATCCTTCAGACTGAAATGAGCAACGACCTTAATAGAATTTTCAATTGCCTCAGCTCAAAAAAACTCACGTTGAATATTCTAAAAACAGATTTTATGGAGAATTGCATCATTAGCTGGAAATATTTCATTAAGTGTGAAAGGTTTAATGTTACAACAGTTCGAAACAACAAAGTGTCTTGGCTTCACTATCGACCAATTTCTTACTTGGAGAAATCATTTACTAAGTGTCAGACAAAAGGTGGGGTGTGGCATCAGAATTCTTAAGAGGATTAGGCCTTTTGTTGGTTTGGAGCACCTCATAAACGTATACAGGTCAATAGTTTAGCCTTAATTTACTTATTGTTGTATTGTTTGGGATAGTATTGGCGAAAGGTTGGTAGACAGTCTTCAAAAGTTGCAAAATAGGGCCACTCATGTTCTTACAGGTGCTTCATACTCAAAACATTCAGCTGATATTCGGCATGAACTTGGGTGGCTCTCACTTAGCGAAATGAGACAACATCATATGGCATTAATGATGTTTAAAGTAATCATGGCCTCTGTCCCTCTTATTTGTCTGACATGTTTGAGGTTAATACAAGCCGGCTCAGTTATATATGACCTTCGCTCCTCTGGAATGAATCTAATAGTGCCAAAAGCAAGAACAAACTATTTTAGGAATGGTTTTGCTTCCTCAGGCGCTAAGATCTGGAATTCTCTTCCTTCCAGTTTAAAAGAAGAGACTTCTTAAAAAAACAATTTAAGACTAAGATCAGGTCGTATTTGCTATCTACACAAGCTTCATAATTTTTTTATCATTAGGTTTAACATTTTGTACGATCTTTCTTAGTTTAGTTTTTAGATATATATCTATATCTTTATGTAAATTAAATAATGCACGGCTTTTAGGTAGAACAGATGCTTTATGTAAAGTTATTTGATAAAATTACCGTGGGTAAATAAAATTTTCACTCACTCACTCACTTACTCACTCACTCACTTACATAGCGCTACATAGCTATGAACAGCCATACATAGCCTTACATAGCCATACGTAGCTGTAAATAGTAATACATAGCCCTACATGGCCATACATAGCCTTACATAGCCATACATAGCACTACATAGCACTACATAGCATTACACAACCCTACATAGCTGTACATAGCTCTACATACCCGTGCATAGTCTTACATAGCCATACATTGCCCTACATAGCCTTTTACATAGCCATACACAGTCGTACGTAGCCCTACATTTTCCTACATACCCATCCACAGCCATACAAAATCGTACATAGCCCTACATAACCCTACATAGCCATACATAGCCCTACAAAGCCACACATAGCCCTACATAGCCCTAAATAATCCTACATTAACCCTACATAGCCCTACATAGCCATACATAGCCATACATAACCGTTCATAACCCTACAAAGCTATATACACAGCCATACAAAGTGGTACATAACCCTACGTAGCCCTACATAGCCATACATATCCCTACCTAGCCCTACTAGCCCTACATAACCCTATATAACCCTACATAGCCCTACATAGCCACACATAGCCCTACATAGCCTTACATAGCACTACATAACCCTACATGGCCATATATAGCCATGCATAACCCTACTTATTATATGGCTACCTCTGTTTTCGCCATGGGATTGGTCAATTTGCGATCCGTAACTTGCTAAACGGACCAAAATTTCAAAGAAAATGCTCATTTCGGAGCTCTAAATCTCTTTACCTCGGAAAAAAGGGTGAAATTAAGTTACAAGACGTCTATAAACCTTGAGGACTTAGATTTTGACTTTGTCCTTCAACATTTTTAAACTGTGTTTATTTGTTAAGGAAGGCGATGAAGAAACTAGCTCGTAATCTTATCGAAGAGGATTCTAGTCAGCGTTTGAAAATTTTATCGTAATACACAGTTAAGAAGACGAAAATCGACTGGCAGAGATTCGAGATGTTTTGCCTAAGAGAAAATGAGTAATTCCTTCGACAAATATGATAACATCGTCATCTTGACGAGCTTCTTTATCATTTCCAGTGTTTTTCCAAAGAACAACGAAAGAAAGATAGAAGCGACTCCGAGCCAGACACAATATCCAGTTTTCAAAAGACTCCAGCGTCACATTGGCGAGTGAATACTTACAGTGCTCTTAGTTTTGACGAGTACACTGGAACATATGTCTAGAAACCCTGAGGACTGGGATGTTGAATTTGCCTTTCCAGATTTTAATCTAGCTTTGTTTGAACGAGAACGAAGCTGATGTAGAAACTGAATCGTAACCTTTCCGTGGAAGAAAATATGGTCCGTGTTTGAAAATCTTAACGCAGATCACGCTTGAAGACGAGAATGAACTGGCAGAAATTCGAGAGGTTTCCCCTAAAAAATTAACGAGAAAATCTTCGACAATGACAACAAACTTACCTTGAAAAGCTTCTTTGCCTTTTGTAGTGCTTTTTTACCAGGACCAACGGAGGAAAGATGGAAACGACTTCGAGAAAGACAGTGCCCGGTTTCTTTTTTTAAATACTCCAGCGTTACATTAGAGAGCTAAAACTTACAGCGCTCTTAGTTTTGACCAAATAAACTTTTTTCAACATGGCGAATTTGTTTTCACTTTCTCGGAAACGCTTTGTTGTGTGCTATTGTTTCGTGAGCCAATAAAAACTTTCTTTCTTGACGCCTGTCAAATGATTGTCAAATCGCGCACACAGATTAAAATCTGTGTGCTGTCCGATTTCTTACCCATTAGGTCGTTAAGAATTTTCCAAGTGGCTTTCAGGTTACCAGAGGCTCCTTCTATTTGATGTTTGTAATAATCCTTCTTTGTCTTTTTTACTTTTTTCTTGACCGTTAACGTTTTAGTTTTATATGCCTTCCAAACATCTGGCCGCTGCGTTTCTGAAGCTTTTTTCTTTAGCCAGTCACGTTCATACATTTCCTCTTTTAACTGAGAATTCAACCAAGGAGCCCGTTTATTTCTGACTTGCATGACTCTCCTCGGAGCATGCTTATCAACTATATTCAAAAATATATCTTTCCATGTATTCCACGCACTATTCACTTCCATAGCGCTTTTAATAACAGGCCATGAGGCATTTTTCAGATCTGTTAAGAAATTTTCCTCATTGAAATGTTTAAAATTCCTCGATGGAATAAACTTTGGTTGTCCCCTGGGTAAACCAATTTTTCTAACAGCATAAATTAAATTGTGGTCTCTAATGGAAAGTGTATACTCCCGAATGAGAAATATCATCTTCCTTGTTCGTAATAAATACATCAATAAGAGTTTACGATTTGGCATTAACTCTTGTAGGTTCTTTGATTAATTGTGGCAATTGATAATCAACCATTAAGTCCAATAAATGGGTAGTGTGAACCTCTGGGGGATTTGAAAGAATATTACAGTTTAAATCTCCCAGTATGTAAATTTCTGAATACCTAGCATCTACCTCCTTCAGAATCATTTCGAATTTTTAAAAATAATCCAAAGGTGTGTTTGGTGGCCGGTACCAGGTAGCAATAAGAAATGGACATGAATTTCGTTTCTGAATTTCTAAGGCAATTAATTCAAGATCATCATTTTCAAGTTGATATTGCCTAGAAAATGTTATTGTATTTCGCAGGTAAAAGCAAACTCCACCTCCGTGTTTGTTTCTATCCCTGCAAACAATATTATAACCTTCTAGATTAACCAGTCGATCACTATATACCAGATCCAATTTTGATTCATTAATAGCCAAAACATCCAGGGGCTTATTTGCCATAAAGACTTTTAATTCAACCATGTGTTTAGTAAGACTGTTTACGTTGAGCAAGGCAATTTTGAAACCTCTAGTTTCAGAAGTAATCTTTTCAAATGACATTGGTTTGGCAGAACAGTGATCATTAGGTCGTCTATTACTATCTACACAGGTCAAATTTCAATCCCCATTAATACATTCCCTAAAATTAGACGCAAGGCGGTAAACACCTTTCCGATTTTAAATGTAATCCACTTCTATTAAGAGAGTCCTCTTTGATGTTACTGTTATCAATAAAAACCCAGTTCTTACTCTGACAAAAAGAGGCATATGTAGGCCTATGTAGGGTTTGTGTCAGGTCAATTTAGGGCTATTTTGGGCTATGTATGGCTATATAAGACTATATGTTTATTTGGGCTATTTAGGGCTATATATGGCTATGTATGGCTATTTAGGGCTATGTATGCCTATGTATCCCTATGTAGGGCTATGTTAAACTATGTAGGGCTATGTAGAGCTATGTATGGCTATGTTTGGCTATGTACGGCTATCTAGGGCTTTGTATGGCTATGTGAGATTATGTATGGCAATGTAGGCTATGTAGGGCTATGTATGGCCATTTAGGGCTATATAAGGTTATGCAGGGCTATGTGGGGCTATGTATGGCCACTTAGGGCTATATAAGGCTATGCAGGGTTATGTATGGCTATGCATGGCTATGTATGGCTATGTCAGGCTATTTAGAGCTTTGTATGGCTATGTAGGGCTCTGTATTGCTATGTAGGGCTATGTATGGCTATGTTAAGCTATGTAGGGCTATTCTATGGCTTTATATTGCTATGTATGGCTAGGTAGAGCTATGTAGGGCTATGTAGGGCTATGTATTGCTATTTAGGGCTATGTAGGGCTGTTCTTAGGCCTTTTATGGTTATGTATTGCTATGTATGGCTATGTATGTCTATGTACGTCTATGTAGGGCTATTTTGGGCTATTTGGGGTTATCAATGGTTATGTAAGACTATCTATAGCTACGTAGGGCTATGTAGGGCTATGAAGAACGATTCTATGGCTTTGTAAGGCTATGTATTGCTTTGTATGGCTACCTAGGGCTATGTAGAGTTATGTGCGGCTATGTAGGGCTATGTATGGCTATGTAAGGCTATGTAAAGCTATGTACGGCTATATACAGCTATGTATGATAATTCCATATGATATGTATCATTTTACTAAGTGAGAGCCACCCAAGTTCATGCCGAATATCAGCTGAATGTTTTGAGTATGAGGCACCTGTAATAACACGAGCGGCAATATTTTGCATCTTTTGAAGGCTGTCTACCAACGTTTCGCCAATACTATCCCAAACAATACAGCAATAAGTAAAATAAGGCTCAACTATTGACCTGTATACGCTTATGAGGTGCTCCAAACCAACAAAAGGCCTAATCCTCTCAAGAACTCTAATGCCACCCCCACTTTTTTTTATGGCTATGTACAGCTGAGTATGGCTATGTAGGGCTTTGTAGGGCTATGTATGGCTATGTGGGGCTATGTAGGGCTATGTATGGCTATGTAGGGCCATGTAGGGTTATGTAGGGCTATGTACCACTATGTATGGCTGTTTAAAGCTATGTACGGTTATATACCTCTTATCAGCCGAGTTTTCGGTCCGCACTGTAAATTACGGACCGAGTTTTTCTCCATCGATTTATGGCCCAAGCGCGAAGGGCGCGGGCCATAAATCGATGGAAAAAACGAGGATCCGTAATTTTCAGTACGGACCGAAAAAACGAGGCTAATAAGATGTTTATTATATAGCTTCTTCCAGTTTCGGGGACCGTAAACAAGTGCAAGATGCGCGATTTGACAATCATTTGACAGGCGTCAAGAAAGAAAGTTTTTATTGGCTCACGAAAACAATAGCACACAACAAAGCGTTTCCGAGAAAGTGAAAAACAAATTCGCCATGTTGAAAAAGTTTATTTGGTCAAAACTAAGAGCGCTGTAAGTTTTAGCTCTCTAATGTAACGCTGGAGTATTTGGAAACCGGGCACTGTCTTTCTCGAAGTCGTTTCCATCTTTCCTCCGTTGGTCCTGGTAAAAAAGCACTACAAAAGGCAAAGAAGCTTTTCAAGGTAAGTTTGTTGTCATTGTCGAAGATTTTCTCGTTAATTTTTTAGGGGAAACCTCTCGAATTTCTGCCAGTTCATTCTCGTCTTCAAGCGTGATCTGCGTTAAGATTTTCAAACACGGACCATATTTTCTTCCACGGAAAGGTTACGATTCAGTTTCTACATCAGCTTCGTTCTCGTTCAAACAAAGCTAGATTAAAATCTGGAAAGGCAAATTCAACATCCCAGTCCTCAGGGTTTCTAGACATATGTTCCAGTGTACTCGTCAAAACTAAGAGCACTGTAAGTATTCACTCGCCAATGTGACGCTGGAGTCTTTTGAAAACTGGATATTGTGTCTGGCTCGGAGTCGCTTCTATCTTTCTTTCGTTGTTCTTTGGAAAAACACTGGAAATGATAAAGAAGCTCGTCAAGATGACGATGTTATCATATTTGTCGAAGGAATTACTCATTTTCTCTTAGGCAAAACATCTCGAATCTCTGCCAGTCGATTTTCGTCTTCTTAACTGTGTATTACGATAAAATTTTCAAACGCTGACTAGAATCCTCTTCGATAAGATTACGAGCTAGTTTCTTCATCGCCTTCCTTAACAAATAAACACAGTTTAAAATGTTGAAGGACAAAGTCAAAATCTAAGTCCTCAAGGTTTATAGACGTCTTGTAACTTAATTTCACCCTTTTTTTCCGAGGTAAAGAGATTTAGAGCTCCGAAATGAGCATTTTCTTTGAAATTTTGGTCCGTTTAGCAAGTTACGGATCGCAAATTGACCAATCCCATGGCGAAAACAGAGGTAGCCATATAATAAGTAGGGTTATGCATGGCTATATATGGCCATGTAGGGTTATGTAGTGCTATGTAAGGCTATGTAGGGCTATGTGTGGCTATGTAGGGCTATGTAGGGTTATATAGGGTTATGTAGGGCTAGTAGGGCTAGGTAGGGATATGTATGGCTATGTAGGGCTACGTAGGGTTATGTACCACTTTGTATGGCTGTGTATATAGCTTTGTAGGGTTATGAACGGTTATGTATGGCTATGTATGGCTATGTAGGGCTATGTAGGGTTAATGTAGGATTATTTAGGGCTATGTAGGGCTATGTGTGGCTTTGTAGGGCTATGTATGGCTATGTAGGGTTATGTAGGGCTATGTACGATTTTGTATGGCTGTGGATGGGTATGTAGGAAAATGTAGGGCTACGTACGACTGTGTATGGCTATGTAAGGCTATGTAGGGCAATGTATGGCTATGTAAGACTATGTACGGGTATGTAGAGCTATGTACGGCTATGTAGGGTTGTGTAATGCTATGTAGTGCTATGTAGTGCTATGTATGGCTATGTAAGGCTATGTATGGCCATGTAGGGCTATGTATTGCTATTTACGGCTACGTATGGCTATGTAAGGCTATGTATGGCTGTTCATAGCTATGTAGCGCTATGTAAGTGAGTGAGTGAGTAAGTGAGTGAGTGAGTGAAAATTTTATTTACCCACGGTAATTTTATCAAATAACTTTACATAAAGCATCTGTTCTACCTAAAAGCCGTGCATTATTTAATTTACATAAAGATATAGATATATATCTAAAAACTAAACTAAGAAAGATCGTACAAAATGTTAAACCTAATGATAAAAAAATTATGAAGCTTGTGTAGATAGCAAATACGACCTGATCTTAGTCTAAATTGTTTTTTTAAGAAGTCTCTTCTTTTAAACTGGAAGGAAGAGAATTCCAGATCTTAGCGCCTGAGGAAGCAAAACCATTCCTAAAATAGTTTGTTCTTGCTTTTGGCACTATTAGATTCATTCCAGAGGAGCGAAGGTCATATATAACTGAGCCGGCTTGTATTAACCTCAAACATGTCAGACAAATAAGAGGGACAGAGGCCATGATTTACTTTAAACATCATTAATGCCATATGATGTTGTCTCATTTCGCTAAGTGAGAGCCACCCAAGTTCATGCCGAATATCAGCTGAATGTTTTGAGTATGAAGCACCTGTAAGAACATGAGTGGCCCTATTTTGCAACTTTTGAAGACTGTCTACCAACCTTTCGCCAATACTATCCCAAACAATACAACAATAAGTAAATTAAGGCTAAACTATTGACCTGTATACGTTTATGAGGTGCTCCAAACCAACAAAAGGCCTAATCCTCTTAAGAATTCTGATGCCACACCCCACCTTTTGTCTGACACTTAGTAAATGATTTCTCCAAGTAAGAAATTGGTCGATAGTGAGGCCAAGACACTTTGTTGTTTCGAACTGTTGTAACATTAAACCTTTCACACTTAATGAAATATTTCCAGCTAATGATGCAATTCTCCATAAAATCTGTTTTTAGAATATTCAACGTGAGTTTTTTTGAGCTGAGGCAATTGAAAATTCTATTAAGGTCGTTGCTCATTTCAGTCTGAAGGATTGATAAAACCACGGCGGGGAACCTTAAACTTGTATCATCAGCAAATGGCCTTCCTATACTATGATCTAAGCAATTTGGTAAGTCATTAATATAAATAAAAAACAAGAGCGGGCCTAATAAAGAACCCTGTGGAACGCCACATACGATACAATTTTTTACAGACGACAATCCGTTTACCACGCAAAAATTGCTGTCTGTCTTTTAGTTAAGACTTGAACCAAGAAGCGGTTTGACCCTGCACCCCATAGTCAGACAGCTTTTTCAACAAGATAGCATGTTCAACAGTGTCAAATACCTTCTTAAGATCAAGGGAAATACACCACTGACCATACCTCTATCAGTATTAAGACACCACTGATTTGTCATATCTAGAAGCACAGTTACAGTTGAATGAAGAGATCTAAACCCAGATTGACGAGGCTGAATAAGATTATTTTCCGTAAAATAAGTGTACATCTGCTCATAAACTAGTCGTTCAAAAACCCTGGCTATAGTTGGTAAGACAGAAATCGGTCTAAAGTTATTTGGATCATTACGTCCACTTGATTTAAATAGCGGAAAGACCTTTGCAAGTTTCCAGTCATCTGGAAAAGTATTTGTAGTAATCGAGAGGTTGAAAAGGTCAGCTAACGATATAGAAATAACTTGAGCCGCTATTTTTAAAGTCTTGTTTGGGATGTTATCATGACCAGTCGCCTTTGCAACATTTACTTCCTGCAGTTTTTAAAACACGTCAGCGATCGTGACTTCCTTCAGTTCAAACGAAGAATGAACACGCTGTTGGGAATCAACTGGATTTACATCACAATCCACCGTAGAGATTTCAGATGCAAGTTACGGACAAACGTTTGTAAAGTGAATATTCAAGCATTCTGCGATTTTCTCGAGATGTGATAAAGGCGCAGAATTTTCTGTCTTTAAGAGTGGTTGTCAGAGAAAACCGGGCAAAATGTTAAAAATGTCAACGGAAGGGGGTCGACAGAATAAGTTCATACTAACATCATAGATAGGTCTGGTGGAGTAATGGACAAATATACCAAACATAGGTTCTTCACTGCTCTTGTATTAGAGATACGAGCATCACTTTTTTCGACCCCCTCGGACGCCATTTTTATAAGCAAATTTTCACCATTTTCTGAAACTCACAGAACCCTCCAAATTTAACGAGCGAAGTTTATTTTTTGTATGCGATACAACACATCACAGAACTACTTTCTAAAACCATAAGATTTGTTAAGTATCGGCGGACAAGACTAAAATTTTCTTATTTTATCTGACCTAAACTCAGTGTCTGCAAACGAGCAAAAAATCGGGCATTTTTGAATTGATCTACAGCACACAACTAATATATAGATTTAGCCAAGCCTAAAAGCGGAGCTCCCGATTTCATTACAATAATAATAACGATAATAATGATGATGATGAAGATCGTTTTATTCACACTGGTACACAATACGATATAACCTCGTTGCAAATACTGATACCGCATTACCCCCCAGTCGGTATCGGGATGTAATCTAGCCTACGTGTAGCCACAACCCACTCCCGACAAAGGAAGAAGAGGAGTCAAAGAAAACTACGAAAAAAGTAACACGTAGTTAGATAAGGTTTAAAGAGCAGGAAAGAAAAAGGTCTTAAAAGTTGAAACTAAAACTAAAACTCTATAACTTTAAAACAGCACAAGAAAAGATTAACTTATCCAAGGTGAATTCACACAACAAAGTTATATATGGTATAATAAATACATTAATTTCATATACTGGCAATGCAGAATGAAGAAATAAATTCAGGGAAGATCACCACAGTTATCAATGCAACTTTGGCACTGTACCTAACGTACCTAACCATTCATATAGTCATTCTCCAATTTCCACCGCAGCTGGTCAATTAGCCTGGCAATTACTCAGAGATTGTGGTGGGAAACAGTTAGATGTCATGTGACCTCGAAGTAACTAATGAGAATGGTGCTGGGAAATATTTAGATTCTTGGAAAACAAAATTAACTGTTTCCCATGGGCCAAGTCTTTAAGTGATTTGTGATGTTAATATTTTAAAAAATTTATAGCTGCATGGAAATTCATTAAACCTCCCTAGAAGGTCAGTTGTTGGTCATTCACGGGTAATAGTGCACTGTTACCCTCTGATGTGAATGATTTTTGCGATGTTGCCTGCTTAGAGAATATTGGCACCAAAAAGTTTCATTGTTAGATGTCAGGTGACATTGAAATAACCAATGAGTGTGCACATGGTTGGAAAGATATTTCCAGCTATAATAACAATGTTTCTTAATATATCATTGTTGTTGGAGAGAAAAAGGAATGGACTTGATTCAAGTAAATAAAATCTTTTCTTCTGTCATCCTCTGTTTCCACTTCACCAGGCTTTGGAAACTCATAGTCCACACCAACTGCCCTTGCTCTAGCAATTAGGCGGTCATCTTCTAAGTGGCTACTATTATTTACTTCTGGAAGAGGTTGCTGTGTTTCCTGCACATTGCTTGCTCCCTCAATTGGGCCATTTTCTACTGCAGGAGTGTGTTGTTCCAACTCTTCTCCTAGTAAATGAATTATTTGTATTAACCAACTACACAATTCATATAAGCTATGGGGCTAGTGGATTCTATTTTTTATCTTGCCTGAGGGATAATAGAGTTGTGATTCTTGGGCTAAGCAAGCTACAGCCTTTCCGAAGGACAAGCACAAAACTGACCTCCTTTTCTTCGCACCCTAGTACTGCATGCTTGTATAACTGTACAAGAATTACTATTATAAAGCTGTATCTGTGGAAGTGTTCTCAAAACCTGATTTCAAATAGAAAATACACAATATTTCTACTTTTGAAACTTCGGATAATACAGCAACCTTGACAATCATTTTCTAAGTGCTGATATTTCATAAACCAGTCATCAAATATAATGGGAGTGACCCAACCAATGAACTCATTATTATAATCCAAAAAATAATTATCTCTATGAGAATTCAATGTATTTTAACTTTGTCCTAGTCAAAGTAATGCAACCCTAAGGTAAGTTTTCCCATAATAATAATGCACGATCAAATACAAACAGAACAAAAATCCTACAATCCAGTCACGGAGAATTAAGTACAGACATGATGACTTGTCATTTTTACCACAACAACAACACTTGAATTACATGACAAAAGGTCTAATCAATGAATTATACAGTGTTTTTGTTACAAATAAATATGATGAATTCTGGGACTCATCTTGTGAGAAATCATGAGTCCCAGTCCAGAACCAATGAGTCCCAGTTAAAAAAAATGAGTCCAAAATGGAAAATGTTTGGGCCTTTATGTACCAGCCACAGACAGTTAATCTGAAGACACACTCCAAAACTCTGTATTATAGTATACTGAAATTAAAATATAGTTCTTCTATTATAAAGCAGAAGTCAACAAAGGCTAAAACAAATATGCATCACTAAACAACAACCATAACTGCCACAGAAATTACACGTACGGGATATTTCTACAAATACACACGTTCAGATCGATATATCCATGAATTATTTTATGTCTTTGGCGATTTTTATGTGTCAGGAACATAGATAGAATGCAGAGGTAACAAAATCACTGATTATATAGCTGCTCTTTTGAGTCCATGTAAAAAATATATATATGAAAGTTTTAACATTCTTATTTGTTACACACACACGCCGACCCACACCTTTATTAATTTCAAAATCTTGGTTACAAAAATGAAAAAAAAAACAACCCACAATGAATAAATAAATAAAAATAATCAGGTAAATTCATAAAATAAAATATTGAGAAAAAAAGTGTTACAAGAAAAAGGAAAGATTACTTAGGTAAGACAACAGAGCATAATTAATTACACCAAAAAGGGGGAAGTTTTAAAAGTATACATGCTTCCCACCAGCAAATTGTGGCACTTAATTAGTTCTGATAAATTTCTATTGTTTATTGGCCCAATCACAGTTTTTCATTCTCTGATAAATTTGCATTATATTTCTTTCTTTTTGCATTATGTTTCCTTGTTTTTGCATAATGTGTTTACTAAAAAGTACACTGCTCTATGCCAATCAAATTCACAGAGAAATTTTTTCATGTATATTATTAACTAAAATACCATCTACCATAAACAACTACCGGTATATCAGTACCTGCTGAATGACTTTTCTCTTGTTCACCTGGCAGAGAGCTTTCCATGCTACATTCAAGTTGGAGGACTTCACTTTCATGTTCTTCTATGGCTAAGAAGATAAGATATAATGTTAATAAGTTGGGCAAGCAGATTGTGACACCTAAGGCTGATTGGTTCTTATATATTTCTATTGTTCAGTGTTATCCAGAAGTTTTAGAGTAGCCAGCTCCCAAAGCAAAGAAACTGGTGCCTGACACCAAGCACTGATAAAGCGAGAGTACTGTATCTAAGGGAGGGGTTTGGGGGCATTAAGCCCAGAGATCTGAGAAGTTTTGCTCGTTATTTACAAGCTTTTCCAGAGTTCTCCCAAGAACCAAGTGAGTTATCATGCTGGTAAATCCATAGAAAATGTGGTCTTTTACTTTTATAAAATAACTTTAAAGCATGTTTCAGTTTACTATGAGATTACCAGCACAATAAACTATTGGTTTTTAACCAATCAGAATACATGTACTATCTTAGTTATTTTATAACTAAAAAATATTATCTGGCAATGTCTCATCAAAAATCATTCAGTAAATATATCGATAATACCATTAGCAAAAGGCAAATTGTCATACACCAAAGAGCTTTTTGTACGACAAGCTATTGTTTTTGTTTCTTTTAGGACCTTCTGAAAAATTCAAGATAAAAGGTACAGACAGTTTTTTTTACTGTTTTGAGTCATAAGAGTAGCCAGCGAAACCACCAGTCGCCTGCGCTTCTGGAGAACACTGATTGTTCACAGGTTTTCATTCTCTGAGAAATTTGCACTTTATTTCCTTATTTTTGCATTACGTTTCCTTGTTTTTTTTACTGTGTTTACTAAAAACTGCACTGCTCTAAGCCAATCTCATTGAAGAAATTTTTCCATGTATATTATTAAGTTTTATAATAAATACCATCTACCATGAACTATATCAGTACCTGCTGATTGACTTTGCTCTTGTTCACCAAGCAGCGAGCATTTTCTGCTACATTCAACCTGGAGGACCTGACTTTCATGTTCTTCCATGGCTAAGAAGATAAGCAAGCAGATTGTGACACCTGAGGCTCATTGGTTCTTATATATTTCTATTGTTCAGTGTTCTCCAGAAGTTTTAGAGTAGCCAGCTCCCAATGTAAAGTAACTGGTGCCTGACACCAAGTGCTGGTAAAGCGAGAGTACCGTATCTAAGGGGGGGTTTGGGGGCATGAGGCCCAGAGATCTGAGAAGTTAAGCTGGTGGTTTACAAGCTTTTCCAGTCTTCTCCCAACATCCCAAGTGGGTTATCACACCAGCAAACCTTTAGAAAATGTGGTCTTTTACTTTTATAAAATAACTTTAAAGCATGTTTCAGTTTTCTATGATTTTACCGGCACAATAAACTATTGGTTTTTAACCAATCAGAATGCACGTACTATCTTAGTTACTTTATAATTAACAATTATTCCACAAGGGCACGTTGGATATGAGATGGAAAATAGCCAACGAGACGCATAGCGCCGAGTTGGCAATAATCATCTCATCCAACAAGCGCAAGTGGAATAATTATTTTATTAAAAAGGCCCACAAAATCCCTTTGAATCTTGTTAGAACAAACCAGAAAAGACAAGGGAGTTCCGCTATTCACATGTCACATGTCTATCAGAACTGTCAACGCATGAACCGACTCGCCTGGACTGGATGAATGAAAAATCAAAACATTGTAAAGATGAACACTTTTAAAAACTCATCGAGACTCTAGGATTTTACACAGCGGGACAGCTAAAAAAACCTGGCAGATAATGTGAAGAAAAATAATTCTTAACCGCCATCAAAATTACTGTGAATTTGGATTTTTGGAGCAGTTACAAAAGTAAGAACAACGGAGAAAAACTATTACCTTGGTCGCTTGTTATGACGTTGTTTGAAGCCACAAGCTGGTTTTGCTGAACAAGAAAAGAAGCTTTACTGACGCCTCGATTGCTGTAGGGAATGGCTACATAGCGTGTATTCTAGTTGCTTGTGATTTATATTCTTCATGTCGGATAAACAAGCCGCAGCTATCTATCGGCAAGTGCCTCAGCGAGTGGCTTCGCAACCATGAATAAACAACACCTGTCTTCTTTCGTAGCTGTTCAAGGCACTTTAGTTCCATGTATTTTCATGTGTTTTTCGATAAACTTTCAAACAAGCTCTTGTGGCTTTTTTGTTTGTTTGTTATTTTCCTGATGAAATTGCATGTTCTAGTATTCTAAGAAATAAATTAACACAATTTGCTTCGGGTGCCGTTTTATCCTTCGCGGAAAAAAATGGAACTTACGAAAAATTGAAGATAAAAGTTGCAGACAGTTTTTTTTATGTTTTGACTCATAAGAAAAGCTGGCACTTTGGAAAAGAGTTCCCAGTGGAACTGCCAGTTGCACGCGCTTCTGGAGAACACTGATTGTTTATTAGCCAATCACAGGTTTTCATTCTCTGAGAAATTCGCACTTTATTTCCTTATTTTTGCATTATGTTTCCTTGTTTTTGTACTGTGTTTACTAAAAACTGCACTGCTCTAAGCCAATCTGATTCAAGAAATTTTTCCACGTATATTAGCAAGTTTTATAGGAAAATTCATTACCTGACGAGGGAATTCCACCTTAAATTGCACACGAAAACCGATATCGGTTTTCAAGTGCAATTTAACGTGGAATTCACGAGTCAGGTAATGGATTTTCCTTGAATCGCATAATCAAATAAAAATCAGAAAAAAAAAGAAAACACCAATAATATTGTTTGTTTTTATCCTGAGCATGCGCCCCAGAAAGCCATTTCAAAGTCAAATGTCAAACCTGTCATTGCGTTAGCGAATAGGAAGCAAGGTCAGTCATACACGTTTGAACCTTTGACAACTTTTTTGGTACCTTGTGCTTGTTTTTACATTTGTTTTCAAACTTTTTTACACATGAACAAGCTTCACACTAATTGTAAGGATAAATAGAGGTATTTCACTGAATTTACAAGCCGGTTATCTATAACATCCTTTTTCAAATTGGTCATTATGCTCGCAAAGGAAAATAATTTACACCTTTTACCTCTTCGGTAGCAAAACTGAAAGAAATGAAGTGTCCAAGGCAAAGCACTGAAAGTTTAACGTTGCGATTGATATAAGGTAAGTACGGACTGTACCTTGAAATGTTTTAAAAATGCTGTTCAAGTTCAGCTCTGTTTTGTACTTTTCTAAGTACCACGATTCAGGATAAATGCAAGTGGCGTACTCTTTTTCGTGTTTTCAGGGACAATGTGATCTTTGAAGGTATTTATTTCTTCTTCTGTATATGTGACAATTGACCCTGGCACTTCCTCCATTGTCGCTTCTCCGTTTTGTTTGTTTGAATTTGGCTTGTTATTTTCTGGGCTGTGTTCACAGGATTTTCTTGTTTTCTCATTGTCGCTAGCGAAAGGGGTTTTTTATACCTCTCCAAGAATTTGTAGTTTAGTTCAAAACAAGGAAGAACCTCCGGATCACTTTAAAAAATGCTTTTGTTTGTTTTTAACTATTTATTTATTTAGTCACTCACAAAACCTTATACAACATAAACAAAAGGTGTTAATTAAATTATAAAATTAATGTGACAAGGAAGTCTAACGAAGCTTGAAGCTTATATTAATAGGCTTCCTTCAACTACCTAGAGGACTAAATTCATGGCTGAGTGCAGAGTGAGCAAGATCAGAAAATTAAACGACAGATCGGCTATCAGTGAGATAATTCTTTAAATTTTTTTTAACAACAAATATAGAAGGAGAGCTAATTAGTGAAACAAGCAACGAATTCCAGATTTTAGGTCCTCGGTAGTGGAGGGGGACAGGGGGGCGGGAGCCCGGGAGAACAGGGGGCGGGAGGGGTACGGGAGACGGGAGAAGAAAGGGCGGGAAGCGGGATCTCTATGATAGCGGGAAGCGGGAGAGAAATTCCAAAAGGCAAGCTTTCGTTAATTGTTACTGCTCATCATCCAGTCAAAGAAACGAACCCAACAACGTTTCTTGACTTCCATTTAACGTTCTCCGAGGCCCTAAATCAAAATTTTAATGCGAGAAAAGTCAAAAAACGTAAATTCGCACTCGGGATAGAAAAAAGAGCATTACTTCCGGTGAAACTGGAAACTTTTCCAAGTCGGTTACATCATAGGTCACGAGTCCTCATGAATGAGGTGGCGTGACACATGTACACGTGTGTCGACTGTGTAAGTCGTGTCAGTGTCTCGTCTGTTTGACCTGTCTCGCAGGTAAAATGTCGTCAAAGACCATTTTAATCAGTCTAAGTATTTTTCCTGTGTGGTGTGGAAAAATCCGTACACCGAAGACCTTCCTGGGAGCTCGCTCCGTACGATTGTAGTTTGCAAAACACTAAAGATTTTACGGCGAGGTGCAAACTTGTGTCCAGGGAATGCAAATTCAATGATCGCGCTGGAGAGTGCGGAGTGGTTAGATATACAACGCAATTTTTTGTTTTGGATAAGGCCAAAGCACTCCCTATTAGAATAGGAAGTCAAACAGCGTAGGACGCTGTCCGGTTGAACTTCATAGATAACAAAGAAAAAGTAATAACAAAAGATTACGAACTGCACGGTAGGTGTGATTTCCCGTAGTACTTTGCAGTGTAATTTTAAATTTTTCACAGTCGCCAATAGTGACAATAGTAGTACATGCATTTTGATTATCTCAAGCAAAGTATCACCAAATTTGTCAACTTTTGAAGAAATACGATTTTGCGAGAGGAATATCGGTAGCGCGGTTGCTGGTCTTGAAGCACTTTCAAACAATTCAGTCAATGATTAACATCGACAACATTGCACAACCTGGACACATCATGCGAAGCAGTAAAACCCCATAAATTTAATGGCCTGTCTTGAAAACAGCATGGCAGTATTTTGAAACACAGTGAAGATAATAAATGCAAAAAAGAAAAAGAAAAGAAGAACACACACAAGGGATGGTACGGGATGTGTATCTCCAAGTGTTTTTCTTTTTAAAGCCAGTGATGGCGCGTACAGAACGAACGATTGTTGTTGACAGTAAACAAACGCGCTATTTTTTTCTCCTTATTAAATTTTACCATTTCAGGACGCTGCCTCCTAATACAGAGGTATTTTTGCAAAGATTATCACCATGGACAAAAAGCAGATGTTAGCAAGGGTTATTGAAATGTAAAAACAAAAATGTGCGTAATTAACCACGCTTTTTTCAGAAATAATTATGATTCTAAAACAGACTTTAAATACTAAGAATGTACGGCAGTTTCTTTCCAATTTTAGCTCAATTATCTCTGAAAAATGGGTGGTTACGTACCTGAAATTTATTTTTGGATTCTGATAGCCCTTGCTGCTTTTTCTACACAGGCTAAACCGCGCGAAAATACCTCGCATCAGTAGACAAATTCCTTAACAAGTCACAGAGAAACTTAAATATCCCGGACAAGACCCGAGATGCTTAGAACGTATGCGCAGTAACAAAAAAAGGCACCGTCCTTAAGCCTTCTATTTAAAAAAATGAAGATTCAAGTTTTGCGGTTGTTATCATTTCTTTCGTTCCCACACTAACACTATACGTTTGCTATGTTCGCAACCTTTCAGTCAAACTCATTGAAACGTCTCTGCTGGGGCGGAAAAGGAAAGTTCCTAGTAGATCTACTTCGACAAGCACTGCACCTCCTACTAACTCGGGCGAACCCTCTGCCAGCGTTGAAGCTGATGAAACTGCGCCGCCATCAAAGCGGAAAAAAGACAGATATGAATAGGTTTGAGATTTGATAACCAGCAAACAATAATACTCCACCAGCACTAAACTGAACGCTTTAAAATGCAAACGGTTAACGAACATGCAATTATTGTCTCGTTGAAGTCAGTTTTTATAGCTTACGACTACTTACGAAAAATAACGAAAACTAACCGCGGTGGATATGCAATGAGTACAATTAGACGCTGGGAACTAGACAGGAGTACTTAACTCTACCGTAACGTTTGGCCCTTCGACTTCATTTTGGCACGATCCCCGTAATTTCGGGATTCCTAAATGCATGTTAATGCATCTTTGATAACTGCAATAGCTATTACACTGCACAGTGGACTAAGACTATTGTCGCTGTAGTGGGATGTCAGAAGCGGTGGTCAAACCTAGATAACCAGGTTAGTGAAAACTCAGTTTAACTAAGAAAACTGACTTGTAACAATTTTCATCTTTGGCAAATTACCCTACAGCTTTAACACTAAACCCGGGCTTCTGATCTTTTTAATTTACATGATGACGGGAAAAATACAATAAAGGGCGGGAGTCGGGAGACACAGGAACAAAAAGGTACGGGAGGCGGGAGAACGGGGTACGGGAAGCGGGAGGTTGTCACCCCCCTGTCCCCCCCCACTCGGTAAAGGATGCTGAATTGCTTTATATTTGATCTACAAAAATGAGGTCTATACTGAGAGGCCAGTCAAATTTTGGTATTGATGGACTTCAGATTACTACTTAAGAACAAGTCACGAAAGCTACTAGGCAAAAGATTATGGTGATAACAATACATAAAAGTAGTGACAGAAAATAAATTAATACTAAATATGTCAAGGACTTTAAGCTGGCTAAACAAAGGGGCGGTATTTGCTAGATAGTGAGCTTTTGTTATGAGCCGCACTAGACGCTTTTGCAAAAGGTAAATACAGTTTAGGTTGGAACAGTAGGTGGAGGACCAGGCGACATTTCAGTATGTTAAGAAAGGATATACAAAAGGTGACAATGATTTTGAAAACATTTTAAAATGACATTGTAGAAAACCTTTTTAGCAGTTGTTGTGTTACAATTTGACGATAGTTGTTACGTAGATGCGAAAAAACATCCCTTAGCCTCCTTTTCAACTCGCAATTCCACACTGAATACCTCTCTTCCTTAACCAATCAGAATGCGTGATTTTACTCAATTATGCAATTCTATAATAAATACCATCTACCATGAACTATATCAGTACCTGCTGAGTGACTTTGCTCTTGTTCACCAGTGCAGAGAGCATTCCATGCTACATTCAACCTGGAGGACCTGACTTTCATGTTCTTCCATGGCTAAGAAGATAAGATAAAACAGTTCGGTAGTATGCCAGTTTTGGAAGAAGCGAAAACAATGGTCTACGTCACCAACCATAACATGATCACCATGGCGATGGTCATTTTCAAAACATACAAAATGGCGGACAAGGGAGAGGAGAGGAGAGAGTATTGACCAAAATTCTCGTTTATTCTTGCTTTATCGAGCCTTTTGTTTGTCTTTTCGTTACTATGAATTGGGAAGTACCTTGAGGACAGGGAGTAACCATTGTTGCGCTATAGTTCTTCGCTTATCGCGCGCTTAGTAGGCACTGCGTACTCACTGCGTATGTAATCAGTACATCGAAAATAGGTAAGCACGCTAACAAGTTTGTGCCTATTTATTTCATTATTTTTTTATATCATAAGGAAAAAAGAACGCTTTGGAAACAACTAAAAAGTGAGTTGTTCTATAATTCATTTCCTTATGTTTGCTTTCACAGTAAGTGTTTATGTAATTTTTCCGGTTGCTTCTGTTTCTCTCCCGCGAGTGAGCGACTGGCCGGAGAAGACGGCTATAATTCAGGTTATTGTTTTGGTGCAAGCGAGTCATTTGTGAGTAAAATATCTGTTTTTTCGAATATGATGTTCTGTTGGTTTATGTCTTGAAGCGGTTCCGTCCAGGTATACAACAGGTTTATGCGTAACCGACAACATCCGCGGATTGATGAAGACCAGGGATGATTGGCGTAAAAAAGCAAAGAAAACAAATGACCCGCTATCCTGGACTGCCTACAGATATTTCAGACAGGAAGTAAAGAGGGAAATTAGAATTGCTGAACGAGAATTTGTTGCTGAACAAATCCAAAGGAACCCAAATAACACCAATAATATCTGGAAAGCAATCCGCCAGTGTGTCCCCAATAAATCTACATCTCAGCGAACATTTAGTAAGAGCGTCAAATCTGTTGCAGACGAATTTAACCAGTTCTTCGTATCTGTTGGTCAGAGCACTGTTGACAAAATTACGTCCCTGGCTAATGAATGCAACTTAACACTTAAGAGTGATTTTCTGTAAAATTCGAACCTCGGCCTGACACGGTACCTCATCGATTTGGCTGATTTTTGGCATGTAGTCTTAGAATGGTGTCCTAAATACTGAATGCATATTCTAAGGTGCGAATTCTCGTTGGTTTCAAAGATACAGGAATGACAGTTTTGACGAGGCCTCGAGCGGCCGCCATGTTGGTGAACTGAAGGAGATTTACAGTAATTAATTCTAGCCTTATCATTAAAATAACTTAATCGTGACTCATACAGTTGCAAAGAACTATCCTTCCTCCTTTCATTTACCTACTCTTATCTGAAAATGGTTAAGCCTGAGCTACGAACGGCTATAACTTCTCACAGCACTTTTTCGGTACTTAAACGGTACACAAATTTGGTAGAAATTGGAAGGCCAATATCACCCATGCCACATCGATTTAGACTAAGCCATTTTAACTAAACATAGTTTGTTTATAGCTAAGTTAGATTGTTGAATAAAATAATTGGGCAAATGCAACGGAACAGAAATATGATTGCATGAATGCGCAGTGGTTCAGCCACTTCGCCGCTAAAACTTCAAAACAAAATTCGGTGAATATTTGAAAAGAAAATTCTTTAAAAATTGATCGTGCCTCTTAAACCCTATCTATCGCTTAAAAAACCCTCCCTTGTAATGTAAACAGATGATCTTTTGATTCTGATCTTGCGAAGAGCTTGAAATATGCGCTAAAATGAAAATTATATATTTTGTTACACACGGTACTAGCTCAAGTTCGCTCTTCGATTTCCCAGACCAATCGGGAGCCGCTCGTGTACTGCACAGTTACAATTTTCTCTGTAGTATTTCGCTGTATACAGCTACAAATTACTATTTTCTTAGGCAAAGATAACGCAAACGTTGTCAATTTTAATCAAAAGGCTAGAAAAACCAACCGTGCACTGTAGCTTTATGCAAATTGTATGGTATTCGATAATTACACGTGTAAACAGGAACCTACCTTTGCTAATGTACACTGTTTGGCAGATCTTTCCAGCGTAAGATATAAAACTAGTACATGAAATGAAATTAAAGAACTCATCAAGTCAAATTACCTGATCGTACCGTCATTAATGAATAATAAGTCCGCAAAATATGACATGGAATGATCGGTGGGAGACGAAGCTATTCTTAGGAGGACAAGGAACTGCACGCTGGAACGGAACTGAAATGAACAACCTCAATCAAGTTCAGTCTTCTTGACGCTATTAAACGTTTCATCCGAATTTGAACAGGAAGTTGTTTTCTATTTTCTTTCTCATTCTTGCACGTATTCTGCAGTTCGCCCACTATTTTTTCGTAACTTTTAATTTTCTAGCTAACTGGAACTGTTAAGAAGTACCAACCCCCCTCCCCCCTCCCCCTCTTTGAGTGAACTTTCATTCGGTCTGATTCACAATAATTTTCGAACGGTGACAAAGTGATATTTGAAATGACATTTTATCTAGTATTTTTAAAAGCTCCTTCTTTTTTTCCCGATAGCCAGGAATGTTTTGAACGTAAAGGCTCAAGTGGCGGTGTTTTTCACGACTCTGCTTGTAGACTGACCTCACCACCAGTACCACGGACATAAAATCTGATCGGAGAGGGTCATACAGTAACTGATGGGTCTCTGAAAAGTGAAATGCAGTCACTTGGGGCGAGTAGGCTATATAGATGATGAACTCATTGTTTATAACCCCATAACCGTATCCCAAAAGTCGAACCAACCCGGGGCGAGCGAACACAATTTTGGAGCCACTGGCCACGCCCTTATGTTTAGCGGGAAATTGGTTGATTAGTCAAATCTCCTTAAAGGGGCTGTGTCACGGCAGTCCAGTTCATTTTGTTTAATTTTGTCAATGCTCGCCCTCAATCGCTGTGAAACTTAAAGTAAGTAAAGAAATTACATGTAAATAACAAAATCAGAGATCCGAGACAAACAAATATGTCTCCTGAGCATTTGCAAGTAGCAGGGATCAACTTTGAAAAACTGTTAGGCTGGACAGTTTTCAAAAACCCTAATTTCAATCCGTTTCAATCTTCTTCAGTTTTGCCCATCCGTGGCATCTGTTGTTTCTGTTATGTTATTTTAACCTTCCTTTAAAGTTTTAAGCAGTTATTTTTATGTTTTTCTTAATTTAACAGGCATTTTGTAATTTCCTAATTTGGCTGAATTTCGTGACACAGCCCCTTTAACTCCACGACCATGCACCTTTCCAAATATAGCCCTTCTTATCATCATATAGTTAGGGCCTCCCGTAAGCATTTGCAACTATTTTGATTTGTAGAAGACTGTTTAACAGTTTTCATTACTTTAATGTCTCGTAAACAACACGAGGTACATGTTCTGATCTCCCCCCCCCCTTCCCCCATCCATAACAAAAAATTTTCAGACCAACACTGAATTGCATGAAGGTATGTACAAAAATATGACCATCTCCAGGCAAGGTTCATCACTGTAACTTACCACATAAAAGCCTTTTCGTTGTTTGCCATCGACTGATTCTGTTCTGAATACTAAGGTCCCATAAACAACGGCACGTTTAGAAAGAGCCCGCCCTTTTCAATCCAAGAAAACCCAAGTAGCGATTTCACCAACGGACATAAGCCGTAAGAAAAGGACCGCGTCAAATAGTTCATGAAATCACAAACGCCTCATGATACCTTTAATTCACTCTTTCTTCGATAAACTAATTTTTAATTTTTTAAGCATAAATGACATCAGAATGCGCGATTATGAGCATTGTAGCTTATGAAAAGAAAATTTAACACCTGATGCACATGAAAGCGTCTTAGAAGGGGACTAGGGGGAATTAGGAACATTGTGCTTACCGCTGGAAAAATATTGGCTAGTTCTTTGAATAGACTCAATTAAAGCCGTTTTTGTTAAGTAAGGAGCTGTTAGATGGGGGGAAAGCTACATAAAGTAGATCGCATCAGAATACGGCATAGGACTAGGCTCTCAAAATCGATAAGCTGAATGCAAGACCAATTATTATGTAAAACAGAGAAAAATTCCTTGAGGGAAAAAAATTATGGCTAGGGAAAAGACCCGAAGGTGGAAAGTTAGGATGGTAGCTTCTTTTCAGGTAATCGATCATTTACGTTAACTTCCGCTATCCGACGATATCGGAAAGACTGAATGGATGAGAGTATAACACATTCAAGAAGAAACAAATTTGTGATTTTTCACAACTCAATAAAATAACTTAAATTGTGTACTACTCGGTTATACAAGATTTTTGTTTTTAATTTCAGATTTTTACGATGGGGCATTCGGCCCCCGTACTCACTAGACACTACTTTACAATCATCGTGTTAAAATCAGTGAAATACTCCAAAACAATTTGGATTCCTACCCTTATACCTTTATTAAAAATTAAAGTTGGGAAGTTTGTTGTTTTCTAAAAGTAGTTTGAACAGCCGAACGACATTTTTTTACACGGAGTGGGGAAGGCAAAGCTTCACTTATCTCTTCTAAGGTAGAAAGTGTCAGCAAAACGTGAGAGTCGTCCTTTTTATGAGGGTAAAGTGTCTAACCTAATTTTCTCACCGATTGCAAGTGCCATTTCATCCACGCATAACCTCACCTAGTTAACAGAATTAGCAAATGTAGTGGGGATACGTTGCGAGAGAACTGAGTAAGATGTTAGGGTAAGTTTTGGAAATTTTCCGCACACCTGGAAAGTCCTGGCTACGCTCCTGATAGAGACATTTGCTGGAGAGAAATTGAAACATGTTCACTAATATAGTGACGACCAGAAAGGACAAGCCATAGGATAGTTCCAGAAAACCACCCATTACAATAGATCACGAAGTTGTCGCGGCGGAGGATGAACTTGAAGGCATCTGATGAATTGCAATTTTTCAAGGGAGCCCAGACAAGATTATGTACGATGGGCACAGCTTGTGCCCATCTGGAAAATTTAGAGAAACTCAAGGCAAATCGCTAGACAACACA